CAGCTTCATATTGAGTTCTGCTTTTTTAGTATTGAGGCCTCGACAGTTCCACTGAAGTATGTTAAATGTCGTAGCCTTATCAGCACGCGCATTTGTGGGCTTACGCTGCATGCTGAGTTGGTAGTTGCATGTTCTGCGCGTTGAGTTGTGCTTCTTGTGCTTGAACGTGCCCGAGGGCTGATTCAAATTGCTGGCGTAATTGTTGTATGGCCGTTTGCATTTGTTGTTGGTGCTGTTGGAGAGCCTGTTTCAGGGCTTGTATTTCTTCCCTTACGCCGCTCTTCATCTGTTGCGGTACTGGTTCTTGCTGCTGCGCCGAGAGAACAGGAATCGCCTGCCTCTGTTCTTGTCGTTGTTGCGATTCATGTCTAGGCTGCTGTTCGGCCTGTCGTTTCTCTTCTAGTTCCGCCTGTCTCTGCTGACGAAGCCTTTCTTCTTCCTGTTTTCTCTTTTCAATTCGCACCCGCATCGTCTCGATGCGCCTCTCCTTCTCGATAAGAAGTCGTCTGATTTCATCCAATTCCTTGCACATTTCGTTAAGCTGTTCTTCTTCTGTCAAGTTCGAAGAGTTTACTTCGTGGCTTTTGTGGGGCCGCGTCAGTTTGCCTTTCGTTTGAAGGGATTGTTGGTGCGTCTGCTTACCGGGCGTGCCCTGCGACAACTGCTCGAGCGGAAGGAATTCCTCTAAGCTTTGAAGCGGTAAAAATCGGTTCCAGTTGGTTCTACCTTGTCCTGTCTCACTGGTGAGTAGTGGTGTTGCGATCTTCTTGGTTTGCGTCAGCGGCGCTTTTGCTCTCTTCTGAAGACGCGCATCTGCATTTTTTCTTGGCCAGGCTAGGGTGCCTACATGGCCAGGCCAGGCTGCCGTCTAGCGCTGTGTAGTGAGCCTTCATGTGCGCTTTGCTAGGGTGATGCCACCCTTTGTAATACCACTCGCCGACAAACCAGCAGCCATTTTGTTCCTCGGCGATATTCCGTGGGGCTTATAACCCCCCCGGAAACAAGCACCTTATCTCAGAAGTTCGGAGCAGCGTTGTGGAACCCACGGAGGGAGGATTAGCATTTTCCCCCTCGGATGGGATTACCGATGGACACAAAGGCCACTTTCCGGCGCACGGAGAAACAATGAGAGGAACAAAATGGCGGTGGAAGAGGTTGTGGGAAAGGGAAACAGGCAGTTGGCATCACTCTATGCGAAGCGCACATGAAGGCACTCTAGCGCTGTGTGGCCTGATACCTGGCAGTTTACGCAGTATGTGTCTCCGCACTGGTCCTCCTACGGGTGTGTCTTACCACACTTCTTGCACCTTTGTTGCCCTGTACAGACTGCTGCCTTGTGCCCGAACCCGTGGCATTTGAGGCAAATGACTGCCGTCGGTCTGTACGTGTACACGTTGATCAGCCTGGTGTGGTAGTTGATCTTTCTAGGGATTCCCTCACCATCGAAGGTAAGCAAGAATGTGCCCTTCTTGCCAATAGGTCTGGCATGAATTATGTTGTGGTAGTCGGAGTCGGAGTTCTCGACAATGTCTTGTGCCGTCGTTTCAGGCTGCATGCCGTGAATTACTCCTCGAGGTATGGTGCCCGTAACCGAGCGGTAGGCGCATACCTCCACAATCCGACCGTCGTCGGTCACAAGTGCCTTGAGTTGCATTATGTCCCTCGCATGCCTCTCGTCGTAGACTGTTACGGCAATCGTGTTGTTCCTTGGATTGACGACGTTCGAGAGCCTGTCTCGGTTACACGGTACGATGAGTACCGCTCTGATCTGATCAAGTAGCAGCTGGGGTGAAATGTCCGTAATCCTGATCTGTTCTCTGGGCTTCAGGACAACCACCGTCTTTGGTAGGTCAAAACGCTCTATTCTCATACCTTTGGCCGGCTTGGGCTTCTTGTAGTTGAGAGTTGACCACCGTGCATTCCCGTCAGCTTCGTGATCCTGTCGTTCATTATCGTCGCTAGGCTTCCCCGCCTTGTCTGTGTCCAATTCGTCCGCACTGTCGCTGCAGGCATCACTGTTAATGCGCTTCTTGGGGTGTATTATCCGTCTATCTTCTTGCGGGTCTACTTCCATCCCATTCTTTTCGACAGAGGGCCGGTCAGCCCTCTGCCTATCCTCCATTAATGCCAAGCGTTCGATTGGTAACACTTAGGCCCAGCATCGGCGGCTTGAGAAGCGAGTTCAAAATCGTCAGGCTTGAGCATTTTACTCACCGCCTCTTCCTTGTGGTTCCCGCTGATTTCGGATGACTTCTGTTCCTTATTTCAACATTTGGTTGCACTAAATCTGCAAAATATTACGTCAGACTTAGCAGACTAGAGAAGCTCGAAAAAGAAACGCCTTTCGCTCACGCTATCTTCTTTTTCCTCCTTGATGTCTAAACAATTAAATAACAACTAATTTGTTTTTGTTTCCTGGTTGGTTCGCGAGGTGATGCTACAGTGTACTAGAATAGTACACTGTAGTGATGCAGTGCAATGGCTGGTACGTGGTGGTATTTATTTGATGCATTGCTAACTTGTACCCGACTATAGCCCACTATAACTGTGGCGCAAGGTTGACAACGTTTTGAGGCAGAACAAAATTAAGGGGTTTGGAAACCGCCGTGTATAGAGATGGCCCGATCTCAACTCAGCTATAAACGAGCAATTCACTCCGGGTCCTAATTTTTTTTTAGTCATAAGGCAATAATAATAATAAAACATGTATTTATATATAAAAAAAAATCACTTCCGTGAAATTTCAGTTTTCCTTTTGATGAAAACGCTCTAGAGGCGCGTGGAATCCACTGGGAAGATATGGTGTTTTGGTTAGAGGCGTCCGTCGATGTTTCTTGTCATGCCAGACGCTGGAGCCGATCCATCGTCCTGACGTTGTCTAAGGCAAGGACCCCATGTTGGGGTTGGCCCTAGTCTTCCTCCTTGTGGGCTTAGCATCATGTTCGTCGGACCAACCGTTCGGCAAGGACGAGTGGCGGGAGGACCTCTTTCTGCCAGGTCTGAAGGCTCAATACCGAAGAGAACACAGCAGCCAGGGACCATCCACAGAAGGAAAGCTCAAAAAGCGACAATACGCGGACGACTTGGCAGAAACCGAATCCTTCGATGACGCATCAACGTTCAAGGCGCTGCTCAAGCATCGGCATAGTCCATGGACGTACGGCTGTGCGTTTGGAGTGGCGGTTTTGTTTGCGATTGCGTTCGTGGCCTACAACGTCAGGCGTACCTCGAGATCGGATGACGACGAGGTCTGTCACTATGACCGGTTGAGTCAGAATCAGGGAGACTTGGCGCCGCCTCAGCAAGACCTTGATGTGGATTACTCCAGCGACATTCAAGCCGAGCGCTTGCTACTCCGTCCGCTTCTGGAGAATTCCGTCTGTCAGACGAAGAAGCATTTTGGATTCAGCCGCAGCCGACACGGCACAGAGCGGGTGGACAAGCCCCCCTTCAGATCCCTGTGGTCGAAGATCATGAGGTCTTCGAGGGACGCACCGAACCAGTTTGGCAGCGATTCCACGACGAAGGGGCCGAGACGATCCGCCTGCACCACTTCGACGTTGCCGACGGTGACGTCCAGGGTGGAGTCTATTCAGGAAATGACGGAGGTTGAAAAGACCTTGTGGTGGAGAACCATGTAACGTCTGCTCTCTGGTTAGCCTCCGGGGGCACACTGAAAGATTGTGAAATTGTGGAGCTGACGACCACTCTTCCGAGGACTAGGCAATCTATTACATATTGTGCGTCGAAAAACTAAATTTAATTGTTCAACGGAAATATTAACTCAACGGATATTAAATGCTCAACAGAAATTAAAAGCTCAACGGAGACATTAGTATTTCTATCAATGCACTTTTATTTGCATATTAAACGTACACTGTGCGACGCTATTAACGCAAACAAGCAATCGTCCGTTTGCTTCTTTTTTTTCGCGTAAAAAAAGATAAGTTGTTATCAAAACTGCTATTGTCCTGAAAAGTGCTAATTTAGGGCACTAAAATATGGTGCAGAGTTCGGTTTGTGCCAGTGTTCGCTCGAATTAAAATGCAAAACAGCGCCGGTGTCGCGTTCGCGGTGTTGGTGTCGCGCAGTGTACAAAAGTGTTGTTTCTAACAAAGTGACAGTTGACGAGGACTAGGACGTTCACTGTCTAAGCTACAAAAATCTTTATTCGAGTTTTTTAAAATGGTATGCAAAGGAAAAAAAAAAGGATACTTAATGATTTTTTTTTTAACGGCAGCCCCGCGAATCAGTATGACACCATAATACCCTTCAAAGTAGCCAATACACACCAAAGGTGGTGGTCTAGCTATGCGGTAGAATCTGTACCTGCGTCCCCATAAGTCAACGCGAATAGGCATGATTTATCTACCCAGCTTTAGTCGGACGCCCCATACGTTTTTCCTTCGCCCAGAAGTCGCGCGTTTCCGCGCACTATTAATTACTTCTGTCACGAGCGTAAGCCTCGCCACTCCCTTCCGTAAGCTATCCCCATTTTTCAGAACCCCAAAAGCGTGGTCGTCGTCGTCGTCGGCGTCGTGAAATTTGATCGCACTCGCTCGCTTTATCGTAATCTCCAACGCGCCAGCGCGTACGCAGCGAACGCAGCGGAGCAGACGACGAAGGGCGACCGCCTCGAAAAGCAGACGACTAGTGTGCCTAGGCATTAGAGCGTTTTCAACTGCTCGATTTTGGCCATGTGGTTTATACGTCACGTTCGCAACACGAGCTGCTAGGAGGGGTCTCAAAATTTTCTGCAATCGTCTCCGTCTTTCTGCCCGCGTTTCTTCTTGCCACACGGTAACGCAAGGCATGCGCACTTGCGACGAATCTTTTCAAAAGGCGCCCGCGATTAAATTGCAAGCGCTTTCCTTGGTTTGAGATGCGCCCTCTCTTAAATGTAGGCTCTCTAGAAACGGCGCGCGGCCGGTGGCTCCGCCTCTACTTCCGGTTTTCGGACGTGACGCTCGCGACGTCATTTCCGATTGCGCTCTTTTGGATTGTTTACTTTGGTTTGCTTTGAAAGGCGCGAGCAGAGTCGGCTCTTCAGTGCACGTTGTGGGTAGCGTGGCGTCGCGTCTGTTCTCGGAGTAGGCTTGAGCTGCTTGAGCCGTGTTTCATTTTTGACGGTGTTTGTGGTGGTGATGTGTGCTGTCTCAAGCCTCCGCTTTGGATGCAAACGTGACGGAATACGCTGCTGAAAACTGCTCCTCGCCCGGTTCGCCTGGAGGTTGACAACTTGGCCGCGTTTTGGAGTGTTGTGTTGACAACGCTGCGCTGACAACATGGGCTTGCTGCTGGTGCCGCTACTCTTCTCTATCGGTGAGTAGGGCTTTCGGGTTTCGGTTTTTCTTTCTTTTTGAAGAACAAACTCGAATTCCCGTATTCCGCGGCTGTTGTTGTGCCGGTCTTTATGGCGCTCACGTCCGGCGGAAAGTGCCGAGTGTGCTTTCGGAGGTGTCGGGATGTTGCGCGCGTCTTGTTTCCTTGAAATTGTTAAAATTGAGCAAGAAAAAGCGCAGCGTGGTTGTTGGAGTTCTTCGGAGTGGCATTAGGAGCGCTTGAGCGCTACGGATTTCGAGTTGTCGGATGCGCCCTTCCTCTTTCTGGAACCTTGCTATTTTTCAAAATATATACAGTATATATATATATTTATATAATGCGATAAAGAACCTTCGATGTAACAACAACAGTGGACGGGTTTATTTCGACGTTTCGGCCGGAGTCCAGCCTTCAACAGGAAGAATATATATAATGAACAAACCGCGTTTTATTTTATTTTTTTTTTTGAACTTGAGGTAACAATTGTGGTCCGTAGCATTTTCCTCTAATTTATTTTATCTTTTCCCTCCGCTTTTTCTATTCAAAAATAAACTTGAAGTAAGCCAAAATATTTTTAGAGCAGTTTTTAAATATTATTTTGTGCTGTCTCTTCATTTACCCTGCTATCGTATTCTTACTACACTAAAAATATAGTAGACAAACATATATTTCTTAGTGCCTTCCATCTAAGCTCCAAGCGTTTATACGTTATCGAAGAAAAGTAATAAAGAAGACAAAGCTGGCGAGGAAAACCGGAAAGATGTTTAAGCATCTCTTCTGTGGCGATCGATGTAGCGATACGGACTTGCTTGCCCTCGGTCTTGGCGATTACAACGTTTGCGAACGACGGAAAGAGCGTGCCGGCTTCGATCGCTACTGCGAGTTCGCCAGCGTTCCTCGTTCAACACGGTTGTTTGCGCTTCCGTTCATCGCAGTGTCTGGGATAGCTCAGCGCGGCGTAGATTACCCGTCCTGCGACGCCAGATTTCCCCTCGCATTACTGCCGGAGGAAAACAATTTAATTACGGTAATTTAATCTCAGAATGACGCCACTGTCTTGTAGCTACTGGTGTACCAGTCATGGCCAAAAGAAACGCGAACAGCAGTGCGCGTGCCTCCATCAGCATGCAGAACCGTTTGGCTGAACTTGCTGGGACTTCTCCGGCGAGATTGTGATCGGTGTCTCGCGGGCCGTGGCATTGTCTTCAGTCTTGGCTACACGTGGTGCGACATTCGCCACTTTGATGCTGGGCGCACTCTGGAAATGCTGCTCTTCTTGATCAAAATGCCGTCAGCGATAAAGTGAAAACGAAAGCGGGTAAAATTTTTCCTCGTCGTCCGCAGTGCAGGGTGATCTCGCTGCTTGTTTTCTTGTTTCAGTCGACGTATAGGTCGACTTTTATTGTAGCGTGACGATTGGGTTGGTAGCACACCGTGACACAAGCTACAGGGCCAGATGAAGATATAAGGACGACTCGCCGTGTAAGTGGAATTGGAATAGTCGCAAATGACTAAGCGGAATCTGTCAGTAAATCACGCAGCTCCTGCGGCTGCACGATCGGTCGCCGCGGGGCCACGAATATCTACGAAGGAGCGGCGTCGTTCTCGAAGCCGACCAGTCAACAGCACGGCGTAAAGGCAGCGCCGTTAATAGCATAATAAAATGAAACGATTTATTTTTTAATGCTGTCCACATTTGCCTTTATGTGGCACCCTAGGTATCATTCGGTCGCCGCTCCGTTGTTCGTATTCCTTTTGACAATAAGTGTAGGGAGGGAACTTTCTTTCGAAGATGGATGAAAGGATGCCGTTGTTGCAGTCAACGTCGACTACAAAGCGTTCTCCCCCCCCCCCCCCCAAAAAAAAAACAACAAAAAACAACAACAAAAAACAAAACAACAACAGGAAAATAAAAACAAATCGGTGCTTTTTCTTTTTTTTTTTTTTTTTTTTTTTTAATAGGAAAAATATATAAAGCACTGCGGGACGCTTCGCCCAAGCCATCCGGACCAGACACCAAAGTTTGAGAACGAACCTATCAAAAGTTATCAGCGGAAACTTTCAACGGGAAAACGGTAGCCAACGAACACATGGGACTGAATAAAGCAAGCCAACGGGCTTTTTTTTTTTTTTTTTCTTTCTTATTGACAGTTTAAAAACCACTTTTGCGCGAAAAAAGATGGAACTTAACCCGAGACTGGGGTGGAAACAGAAACTTAAAAGTAGAAGGGACGGAGACAAGTGAAGAAGAGAACGTTCTCTTCTTCACTTGTCTCTGTCCCTTCTACTTTTAAGTTTCTGTTTCTACCCCAGTCTCGGGTTAAGTTCCATCATGGTAAATATCCACCAGCTCGCCTGCACTTTAACCGTTTTTTCGAAAACAGAATTCGACGATGCTTAGTCTATTTTAGCGGGGACACGCTGTATTTTCTGCTAGGTTGTCAAAACTAGCGTAGCTTCTTCCATGCTTCGTCGCTGACAAAGCTTCTTGCACGTGCAAATGGGACGCAAGACGAAGCCACGTCGTGCTCTTGCGGGAGTGCGGGGCTCCAGCACGGTGGTAGCCTTGCCAACGTAGCGCAAAATACGAAGAAAACAAGTGCCGTGACTGTGCACTTTTGGCACTGCTCGATTGGCAAGCCGCGGCTGACGCGCAGCTGGTGCTACGAGTCGACGGCACCGAGCCGCACCAAAAAATGCAGCATCACGACATTCGTCGTTTTTCTCTGCGCCTACTGTCACCGGCTGAACCCTGCCGAGTGCCGTGAACGCGCTGCGACCTCGCGCCTTTAGTACGTGCGTTTCCGTTTGTGTTTCTGCGTCTCATAGCCTTTGGTAGCGCTCTGACTTACGGTGAAGCCAAGTGAAAATGTCATTCGCACCGGCTCTATGGCCAAGCGGAGGGAATGCCAATTTCGGCCAATGACGAAGCTGGAAATAAAAGGTGCGATCTCGAAACGAAACATGATACGTGGCAATCGACGTGACATATATTAATCTACCGGGTGTTCCAAATAGAGGCGAGGCTCTTTAGATCGACCGCGAAATTCGGTTTTTTAACGTATTACGCTACGAGGTTGTGCACCGTTGCCCACGGGTGGTGCATTTTTTTCTATAAAATTTGCAAAGAGCGAACTTACCTGAGAAAAAAGTAAAGAAAGAAAAAGTGCTTAACTCCTATGGAAATCCAGCGACCCCACCGGTCTGCAAACAATAGGGCTCCCTATTGTTTGAAGACCGGTGGCGTCGCTGCGTTTCCATAAAAACTAAGCCTTTTTTTTTTTTTTTTTTACTTTTTCCTTAGGTAAGTTCGCTCTATGCAAATTTTGCAAAATATGCACCATCTGTGGGCAACGCTGCACAAAATCGTAGCGCGATAGGTTAAGAAACCGAATTTCGCGGCCGATTTAAAGAGCCTGGCCGCTATTTGGGACGCCCGATACAGGCTCTCCGTTCATGCTCAATGCCACATCGCGAAGTTGCATTCTTCGATTGAAACGAGGGAGGTGCGAATTTCTCTTGGAATCGAATAGCTCAGCGTTATCTCTAGCTGGAGCACTTTAAAGAAAGCCGCCATACTGTATACATTTCCTTTTCATTCTGAAAGGTGATGCAGCTTTGTTCGATTCGACCCCACTATCCGCACGTCCCCAATTCAAAGCGTTTTTCTGGTACAGTACTTTCTTCTCCGACCGTTCTACCCGGTAAAAGACGCGCGTGCACATTTTTTCTTCAAGGCCGTTGCTCGAACGAAGGGCGAATGAATATTGCTTCCGGCGTTACGCGATCGCGTATCCCTGGCACAGCCGACCGCGGAACCGGGAGAACGACGTTCCACGTGTAAGGGCAGCGAACAGATCCCTGTCCAGGGATTTGCCCAGCACGACTGTCAATTCTTGTATTGCCTCTCGCATATTTGTTTTTTTACTTGTTCGCTGTAATTGATGCTGGGGGTCGATAAGGAAATGTAACCCGTTTAAATGCCACCCTGTAATCGATCGATTAATCGGATTCGTTCATTCCCATGCATAATAATTTCGAAAAAGTAAAAATTAAATATTTTCTTTGTGACACCCACACTTCCAAGTTCTTACTTCAGCCGCAGGGGCAAAGCGGTTCGTCGATATTCTCCGGCCATAGCGAACTCCCTTGATTGTTCGCAATAGTAGAGAGTTTTAGTAGATCGTGTTTTCAGGCCACGCTATCTGTAGCGGGAGCTCGCGCTGCCACTTCGATGCATGCTCTGCAGCGCGCGCATGCCCTGCAGCGCGCGCATGTCGGTAGCGGTAGCGGACCTTTGAATACGATCTACTAAAACTCCCTAGTGTCTGCTGCGTTAAACGGACACTCACGCGGCATTGAAGTAGCTGGGACGCGTATAACCGTCTCTCGACTTGTTTGGAGTTACAGATCAGCTCACTTAGGTCAAAATTTTGCCTAACGTTTGCCTCTATGCAGGTGTACTCGTCCTCGTCTGCGTGATGAAAGCGTTGCATTTTTACTTTTGTTTGTTCGTCAGATTTGAACCGATGAACTCGTTAAACAAGTTAATCGAGAAGAAATAGTTGATTACAGACTGGAGCGTGTTGGTAATCTACATTGAATTGAAACGAAAGAAACACACAAGAGGACGAAACAGACGACACAGCTTTCGTCTGTTTCGTCCTCTTGTGTGTTTCTTTCGTTTCAATTCAAAATAGTTGATCGATAGATTAATCAGTCAAGTACCCAGCCTTAGTTCTAATGTCTTGCTTGTTTTCGTCCCCCCGTACCGGATAGGTTAGCTTAGCTATCTGGCTGAAGACGGATTAGCGGGGAGTTTTTCCCGCTTTATTCATCGGGAAAGAGCATTGTATTCGTATTACGGATTTTATGGCTATATGCCTTTACGACTCAGGTTCTGTACAGATTTTTTTCCCGGCGTAAATAGGTTACCCGAAAATAGGTAACGTCACTACATAAAAAAAGGCGTAACGTCCGTATGGTACTGTATTAAGTAA